CTTGTAGTGTCATTTTGGAATTTGATTTGCACCTATTTTGCTCGAGAAAGAGCTTCTATGTTTCACAATTCAAACTTCTTTAAAAAGAAATTTGTATTTATATTAGTGCAAACTCACTTCCGATTCTAATGTGGGGCAAAGGCTTCTTTTAAGCCTTTTAACTTCATTTTCCACCTCAAAAAGTCTACTTTGATAATTAATTTCCCATATATTCACCCATTATCCGTTTTGAGCGTACAATATATCAATTTTTCTGTCTCACTTTGAAGAATCTGAATCCACGTACTTTGACCCGACTCAAATTAAAAGTGAACCCCACTAATATTTGTACTACGAAATAATACTTAAAATGTCATTTTGTGCTATTTTTTCGAACAAACTTTTCACAAATACATTTCAGCGAAAAATATAACACCAATTGAAGCTGAAGGCTAAAAATTTAAATGAGCTAAAATAATTCTAATAACAATTTTTTAAAAGTTCTCAAATAGAGACAAATCAGGCTTAATTTGTTGTGTTTAGGACCCACCAAAAGGGTTGGTAGAATCCCCAACTGAAACGGCGGCCAAGGCAGATAAACCCTTTTAACAAACTTGATAGCAATTCCGATCCGACGACTAATAACTTATGTTTTCACTAGCGAAACTAATGTGCCTACATTTACGACACTTCATAATACTTTTGATCTAAAATATGTATCAGAATTCAGACAATATAATGTGCCTAATTGTCATTAATTAGTTAGTTAGTAACACTTAAAGCGACAGACCAAATGAGTTTAAAAAAACACTTAGATAGGTCATCAACGCCAAGCACTTTGTGTTTAGATGACACCCGAGTTAGACTTTCATATGAGAGGTTGTGAGTTTAATTTGAGCCTCAGTAAAGGCATTATTGACTCTCTCGAGTCAGTAGCATTCAAAAAAAAAAAAAAAAAAAAATGGGTCACCAACTTTGCCTATAAATATAATGCAACACACTTTGCATTTCATCATCCAAATAAATTTTGTCCCACCAACTCAATGGAGTCTTTGAATACAATCCCATTGTTAAGCTCTCAAGTAAGATCAATTCCATGCAATTCTTTCTTCTACTTTTCTTCATTTCTAGCTATTTCTGTTATATATATCCAATTTTTTTTTTTAATCTAAAACAACTTTAAAATATTATATTGTATAATGCTTTACGTCATTGAATTGGTGCTACAGTTTGAAGTAGATAATATCTTTTTTTACTTTCTTTCTTTCTTTCTTTCTTCATTTCTTCTCCGTCCTCTACAATTAAAACTTTACTGATTAACTAACCATTTTCCTAAAAGTTCTATCAAATGCTAACATATAATGATCTAGTGTATGGTAAGTTGGTAACACACCACAGAAGTATTTGGCAAAATTTTTAGCCAATTAAGTTGTATTTGTGTAAATATTAGTGTATATGCAATTGAGAACCTGGAGTGTGGTTGAGTGAAAGCAACTCATTCATCCTAACCAAATGTCAAGAGTTTATTAATCATTGGCTTTGTATATGAAGCAGTCTTAAATCTCCAGGCCAGAGAGATTAGTTACTGTACTCGACGGTGGAAACCATGGGTGCACTCATAAAAAAAATAAAAAATAAAAAAAAAAGTGTATATGTATGCAATTTAGCGAATTGAACATCGTATATATATGGTTCATGAAATGTGATTACTCCTAACAATAAACAAATTGGGTAAAATGCCCATAAGTGGGAGTATTTTAAAATTTTCAAAATATGGACAAAAGTTAAATATGCATTTTATCTTACCTTCCCTATTGGAGTGAGAACATTTGATTCTCCCTAAGCTAGTTAATAATAATAATAATCCTGGTTGGTGTTGCAGAAATTGAAGACACTTTGGTTTGTGGCAATTGTTATAGGAGTGATAGGAGTAGCTGAGGGTAAGAATGAAAGAAATTGGTATGAGTCCCAATATAGTGGGAGGGAGTACTCAGCTATAAGCAACAGGGCACACAGTGCATCCATAAAAGATTTTGGAGGGGTAGGGGATGGGAAGACACTAAACACAAAGGCATTTCGGGAAGCAATGAATAATCTGAGCAAGTATAGTGCACATGGTGGAGCTAAGCTCATTGTCCCTGCTGGGAAATGGTTGACTGGAAGCTTCAATCTCACAAGTCACTTCACTCTCTTTCTTCACAAAGATGCAGTCCTCCTGGCTTCTCAGGACGTAAACACTTGGCAAGTGATTCCGCCCTTGCCATCTTATGGTAATGGAAAGGACACTTCTCTTCGAAGATACATCAGTTTCATTTTTGGATCAAACCTTGTAGATGTTGTTATTACAGGCAAGTTTCCATACTCATGTAAATCCCAGTCTTGTCATCCTAGCATGTAAAGAATCACAAAGTACGTAGTAAACCAGTTTAGGTTGCTCATAGTTGACCAGCCGGCTCAAACTAATGAAGCCAATAAGCCAATACTGATATCTGAGCAGTCATTACCTGTGTACTGAGTAAACTCCGCCTTGTAACCCTAACAGTCAAAAGATCACAAAGAGGTAAATTAGCTTAGGTATAGTAGTCTAGGTTGCTCATAGCTGACAGCCCAGCTCAAACTAATGAGGCCAATAAGCCAATACTTATATCTAAGCAGTCATTACCTGTGTGCTGAGTAAACTCTGCCTTGTGACCCTAACAGTCAAAAGATCACAAAAAGGTAAATCAGCTTAGGTAGTCTAGGTTGCTCATACCTGACCGGCCGGCTCAAACTAATGAGGCCAATAAGCCAATATTGATATCAGAGCAGTCATTACCTAAAGATATGTACTGGGTAAACTCCGTCTTGTGACCCTAGTAGCCAAAAGACCACAAGGAGGTAAATCAGCTTAGGTTGTTCATAGTTGATCGGCTCAAACCAATAAAGTTAATACCCGTTCTCGTTGAGAGTCGCACTTTTAACCTTGTAATTACCAAATCAATGGTTGGACTAACTTAGTTGAGGTTGCCTCCGGTTGGTCTCTATTTGATTGTAGAATAACTTAATGGATGGGTACTTCAATTTTTGCATGTTGTTTATAATTCAGGTAACAATGGCACCATTGATGGTCAAGGTGCATTTTGGTGGCAGCAGTTTCGCAGTAAAAAGCTAAAGATCATAAGGCCTAACCTGATTGAGATCATGCATACTGATAACCTTCAAATCTCCAATTTAACCCTTCTCAATTCACCAAATTGGAATGTCCATCCTGTATACAGCAGGTAATTTTATTTTTTATTTTTTTACTCTTCCTATCTCCTGCATTGGCCTTCAGTAAATAATAGTTATGTATTATGTTTTTTATACTTCAGTAATATCATTATACAAGGCCTCACAATCTTAGCTCCAGTCAAGTCAGCAAATACTGATGGAATCAACCCAGGTTTGATCCTAGATTCTTATTTAATTAATTAAATTAAATGATCCAATTATAGTGACTAGCCACCAATTAATGGACTTATCCTTTTATCGTTCTCCGTCCAACAATTTTCCTTCCAGCACTTACCACCAATTGATGAACTCAAACTCGTGACTTGACTCTGATACCACTTGTTAGATCAAACGCAATTTTATTTTCTCTCCAAAAATTTCCTAACTACCAATTGTTGAAGTTGACTCTTCCCCAACCCCGTCCAACAATCCCCTGACCACCAATGGATGGATTTGGCCGTTTATTGTACCGTACAATCGCGGAACAAAATATCCCCAGCTCTTTTAATTTGAATTTTGGTATTATTGTTCAGATTCTTGCACAAAAGTAAGAATTGAGGACAACTACATAGTGTCGGGAGATGATTGTGTGGCAATTAAAAGCGGTATTGATGAATACGGTATAAAGTACGGTATGCCCACCAAACAGTTGATCATCAGACGCCTCACCTGCATCTCTCCCACCAGCGGCGCAATAGCAATGGGAAGTGAAATGTCCGGTGGGATTGAAGACGTCAGGGCCTCCGACATCACCGCCCTCGACACGGAGTCAGGGGTGAGGATCAAGACCGCCCTCGGCCGCGGCGGCTACGTCAAGAATATATACGTCAAGGGATTGAGAGCGCACACCATGAAATTGTTGTTTCAGATGACTGGGAAGTACGGCTCCCACGCCGACAAAAATTTCGACCCGAAAGCGATTCCGGTGGTGGCGGGGATCAACTTCCGGGATGTGGTGGCGGATAATGTGACGACGGCGGGCACGATGGAGGGAATCCCCGGCCACCCCTTCACCGGAATCTGCATGGCTAACGTCACCATAGGGATGGCAAAGAACGGCAAGAAGCAGCCGCCGTGGGTTTGTGCTAATATTCAAGGAGTGGCCAGTGGGGTGGTTCCCCCGCCATGCAATTTGTTGCATAGTCAGGGCCCAGTGAAGCCTGGAATGTGCGATTTGCCTGCCAAAAATGGATGAGAATTCATATGCTTTGCGGGGCTATTAATATAATATAATAATATTATGTCTTTTCATTAGTTATTCCATTGAGTCTTAATAAAATGAACAAGTCATTTATTTCGCTGATTATTTCTGATAAGAATAACCATTAAAATTTTATTATTTTGTTCTTCACTGGGAATTTGTTTAATCGTAAATGAAAAACCTAACAACTTTGACCAATACCTTTTAGGTGCATAAATTCAAAAACTAATCGATTTACGAAATTTCCCAACAAATCAGATAAGTTGATTCAATTCAGATTAATTTATGAATTTCAAATTTCTTTGTACAGCTCTAAATGTTTTCATAAGTGATAATAATATAATATAGAAATCATGTTACATATATCTATGTTAGGTGGCCGATGTTTACTTGGTATAATTGACTCAGCAAACTTGGACAAAAGAGTGGACCATGTGAAGATTAAACTTGTAGCTTTAATTTTACGGGGTATTCCACCTTCATATAGTTCAAAAAAAAAAATCACAGTTACTAATTAATAATATGTATTAAATTTTGTCTTGTGATCACTGTAAGCAGTTTTACCAGTTCATGCATGTAAATATGACACTTGCACTTCCAAACGGCGAATTACAACTCATCACAACTGTTCACATATACAATAGTAATATTCAGTACTAGGTACTATATTTACTTGGATACTAGGTAGTATATCTTTAGAAAAATTCTACAATACTGAAAAAACATCGCTACTTACTATTATAAATAAAAAGCCCTTTCATCATTATAATAATAGGTAGCGATGCATTTTCAGCATTGTAAAATTTTTCATATATATCTTAATATCAAACTGAACTGAACAACAGAAAACCTGACATCTACAAAACTAGTTTTCACCTCACAATTTGTCCCTTCAAATTGCTACCGGCCAGCATTTGGTTAGTGATTTTACTACCAATTCTAAGGTTAGAAAGCAAAGCGTTGCGTCCCGATAGGAGAATTTGGAAGAATGCATCGACCTCCTTCGATAACAGATCGAGTCCTTGTGAAAGTTCGTCTGCCTTCTTCGACAAATCTGATCTTGCTTCTTGCAGCGCTCCGAGTTCGATAGGGAGTACCCCATCCTTAACCATGGGGTACAACTTCTCCACACTTATATCGACGTCTTCTAGCTCCTTCAGGGTTTTGACCCCTCCATGGGAATACTTGTCCTTGATCTCCTTGTTGATAAAAGCCTGAAGATCAAGAAACGCTTTTGCCCAGATGCAATCCTCGGGGATCTCTAAATCCTTCAGCTTCTTCACAGAGCCTGAGAAAGCAACGACAAATATACTGCAGAGGGAAACGGTTACTGCCCGAACTCCATACATAGCCCGCATCAGCACTTTCCCTTTTGCGGAGTTCTTTATCTTAGGTAAGTTCAAACTCTCGGTGAGGCTATCCAGAATCCCGAAGCACTTCTCCAGTCTTGGGTTGTTTGCATTAAGATGCTGCTTCCATCCATCCAACGACGAGCGTGCTCCAACAAACTTGTTCGCCCCGCCATCCACGTTGTGCAACGCACAGCGAATAAAAAGATTGCCCTGGTTGAGCCTCGAGATCTCGGAGCTGAGAGCGGTACAAACATCCAGCAACCTCACACTGTTGTCTAAGTACACATCAATCCACTTCTCATCCCAATCACTTACGGGAAGTTCAAGTGCAGAAAGAAGCGCTTTGATGTCGGAATGAATAACGGAAAGTGCAGCAATGGCACGTTGCATCCACGATAAGCTGAGCACATCTTCCCCATCCACAGGCCCCAGACTCTTGAGTTTCTCTGCCACCGACTCCTCGAAAGTATTCAATAGAGAAAGAAGCCTTGAAGACAGGTGTGAGCCCTTAGGAAATATCTTCCGGAAGGGGTTTCTTGGAGAACTCATTTTTAATATACAGAAACTACATAGAAATTAGAAACAAAACATAAGAGAACAGAATAATACAGAGTATAGGCATAGGCATGGTAACCAACAATTGAAGAACACAAATATTTACCCCACACAAGTTTCTGCAGCAGCTTAAAATCAAATTCTAAATATCAAATTATAGCATACAACTATGTCTACTTGCAGCCCTATTTTTTTTCGTAAAAATTACATTTTCTTATAATCCAGAAAAGCTAAACTGTGTTACAAAAAACAATACATATATATCAATTATCAGCAAATTTGAAACTTTGAGCCTATAAAGATACAGATTCAATATCAGCTCCTTATCAACTACTAGTTCCCAAAATCCCAAGTAATTGATTTTCTCACATATCAAATTAGTTGGAAGTTCTCTTAAATGTCCAGAAAATATTGCAATTAGAAGCCAATTATGACCATCAACCCCAAGATCTAACATATGTCATCAAATTTCAACAACTACACCGCATCGGATTATTATAATTACTGGTATTCTTAATATTCAGAAAAGAGGAAAAGATAATAAATAAATTTGACGAAAATCAACAAAAAAACGATAAGCAAATTCAAACATCAACTATCCAATAAAACAAACGATAATCAAATCAAGATACTTACAGATTCAAAAAAGCTTTAAATCCGAAGCCGATTCAGAGATTGAACGCCACAGATTTTAAGCAGATCAACTAAAACATCAAGGTCAACCCGTAAGCTATACGCACAGAGATGTATATATATATATATATATATATATATATATATATATATATATGTATATTAAAAACGCAAGAAGCCGTACCTGACCGAGTACCGAGTAGATAGAGAAAAGGAGGAATCTTCTTGGAATTTCACCCGCAGACGCGTTTGATGAACGAGTGGTTCGTTTATTAGCTCTTGGAGACACGATAACCGTCGGATTAATGCTTAAAACGTGGCGAGATATGGCATGCTGATGAAGCTTGTAGAAGATCGTACTATGCCTTGTTGGAGTGAGACCATTTTTGGCCGTTAGATTCTTTTACGATTTCTGGTCGACGATGTTCTAGACATGCTTCGAATTTCGGAGTTTCTGAATTCTGAAACTAAAACGCGCACTTTTTTAAAAAAAAAAAAATTAGGGTGTGTTTTGTTAATCGAAATCGAAATTGGAATACGAATCAAATATTTGGTAATGGTAATACATTTCGATGAAAGTATTTTGCATGTTTAGTAGTAGGGTGAAATTGGAATTATTATTAATATTATATATATTTAAATAATAAAATTAAACATAAGATTATAAACCATTCTAATATTTAAAATTTGATAATAAAATTAGTTTAAAAGTATGACTCAATTAACTGAATAATATATGACTCATTTGTCTGTAATTATCTTGAAAAAATCGATATGTAATATGATTTATGTAGTTATATTATTAGTAAAATAAATATGCAAAACAAGAAAAAATAATTTAATTGTAATTATTATACAAATAAATTCAACGACCCATGTTTAATTTAATTACGATAATAATTATTGAAGATTCCATGTACCCCATCCACGTGCGTGGGGATGTGCGTGGATTGGACATAGAAAAGTCCACGCACCCACCCCACGTGCGTTGTCACAGAAAAATTCACGCACTCCACCCATGTGCGTGGGGCTATGCGTGAATTAGGGCAAATGGATACCGCAAAAAATTTACCTCAAACCGCTTTCATTGCACTCCAAACTCCCTCCCAACTTCTAACAACACTTGTGAGTGACCAAGTTACAACCAAACATCATGTGTACACCATCCAAACACCAAACCTCAGCTTTAATTCTTCTAATTCATCAAATCAAGGTAAAAAATTCCTTGTTCTTTCAATTTGGACATCTTTGTTTCAATAATAGGGTGATAAACTTGTGCATAATTGTGTTACATTTGATGATGAGAACCCTTGTATTTGAGTTTATTGAATTGCTTGGTATATGTGAATTGAATTCTTCTTGCTTGTTGATATTAGGTGTTTGGTTTTGTTCATAAATGGCTAGTGCCTACTTGTTGATTCATACATTGATGAGAGTAGCCATGACATTGTGATATTGTTGATAATCATTGATCAATCTTTTGTCAATACATGTGAACAATTCTTTTGATGGTGAGCATTTCATTAAATTGGTTGATCTTGGCTGTTTAGTGACTTGCCCTTGATTCTTTATGATTTGTACCCTTGTTTTCCATCTCGATCATATGTTGTTTCTTGTGTTTCCATGTTCAAACACGTCGGGCTAAAGATGTTAAAAGTAGCGCTCTTGGGAGGCACCCCAACCTTATAAAAACAAAAACAAACAAAAAAACAAAACAAAACAAAACAAAAAAAAAAAACAAAAAAAAAACAAAAAAAAAAAGAGAAAAAAAATTCTCAAAAATATTGTTTATATCTAGGAGTAATCCCACTACTCCATTGCACTTCTACTATTTTGAATTGCACATATGCCACTAACCTTGTTTTGAAGCTTGAAGCGAATTTGATGGGGGCAAATAGAATTGGATGCTACATTCCTTACAATGGGATTTGTGCTATAATTGAATTATTTTCTCTATCCCTTAGTCTTTTATATGCCCCGATTTTTAAACCTAAAGTGTGGAAAAGGGGTTTGCACCAATCGTTATACCCTGCACCACGGCACACAATGCATTGTGCGCCCCGCGCCTCCCAAAACGACGTCGTTTTGGGAAGCGCGGTAGGAAGTTGACATGATTATGTATATATTTGTTTATACAATTATGTATATTTTTTTATTATGTACATTTTTTATACAATTATGTACATTTTTTTTATACAATTATGTACATCTGAATCAGGAAATTTTTGTGTATTATGTTAAGAGTCCTCAAAGTAACATCGAGGATGATGTTTATTTTAAAGTGTAGAAAGGACGCGCTTTGTGCTTTAATGGCTTTTATTTGCTCAATTGGTCTAATGGTGCTTGATTGATGAGTGTGTTTGATGATATATGGAGAGTGCGTTATTGTTTATATCATGTTGGAAGTGTGTTAGTTGGGTGCCTAAAAAGTTTTTATTCTTGAAATATCATTTGGAAGTTACCTCTTTACACCAAGTGGGGATTGCTTAGAAACCAATAGGTTTACACCTTTTGTATGCTTGCATGTTGTTCACCTCTTATTTTGCTTGAACCTTAGTCAAGGATCTCTCGAAGTGGGAGTGTGTACCCCCCCCCCCCCCCCGCCTCCCCCCTCCCCCCAACTTAGAAATATAAGTGTAAGCGAAGCCCGGAAATGAACTAATATTGGTAGGGCATGGGGCAAAAGGTGTGAGACATCCCAAAATATTTTCCTCCAAATTTCTATTTTATAAAGTTTCAAAATAAAATTTATTTTTATTCCTACGATAATTTTTGGTCAAACGAGTAAATAAAATATTTTGAACTCTTTCCAAAATGATTTAGTATAAAATATTTATATATTTATTTATGATTTTGAAAACCCTATTTAAATAATATATTTACTTTCCAAAATTTTGACCTTAAAGCCTATCTGAGAGGAACCTGTGAACTTGATAGAAATATTTTTTAACCCAAACTGTATTTCAAAATGAATCCAATCTATTCCTAAAATTTTATATCGTATTTATACCCGAACTTAACCCAACTTTTGCCCCAAAATTATAACCCGAGATTTTAAATCGCGAAATGACCAAATTGCCCTCTCTTGTCCGTCTATTTCAGCTTCAACCCTAGGGTTTTGTGTCGTATTTAAACATCAGTTTTCAGATTTTCCTCTTCACTCCACTCTATCCACATCTCCTTCTTCTTCTCTTCTCTAAGAAAAATCAGAGATTCAAGTTAGCAAATAGAGCCACTCTAGTAAGCTTCTTCCTCTTTCCATCATTCTTCTTCTTCTTCTTCTTCTTTCCTTTTCCTGCTACTAAGTATGTTCATATATGTGTCTATGTTGTTTTATGTGTGGTCATGGAGTCTTAGGTGGTCAAAGAGAAGACTAAGTTTGAGAATAGAAAGGAAGGATTCTCGAGGTAGAGACTAGCAAGCTCAAGGTATAAATCATGGATTCTCAAAACTTAGTATTTTTAGTTTTGTTAAGATATTAAAGATGCTACTTGTGTTTATGATGTATTGATGCTTAGAAATAGGGATAAATGTGTGCATATATGTAGGGTTGTTAACGAATTGAACATAAATGAACGGAGGTTGTTCGTGTTCGTTTGTTAAGGATTTTGTAGTGTTCGTGTTCGTGTTCGTTTGTTAAGGTTTTTGAAAATCCTGTTCGTGTTCGTTTGTTAAGTGTTCATTAGTGTTTGTTAACGTTCACGAACGTGTTTGTTAACGTTCGCGAACACGTTCACGAACGTGTTTGTTAACGTTCGCGAACACGTTCACGAACGTGTTCGTTAACATTAACGGACACGTTCACAAACTATTTATTAACATTAATGAACACGTTCATGAGCATGTTTGTTAACAAGCACGTTCATGAACATATTCATTAATAATTGCGAACATGTTCAATCACGTTCGCGAATGCTTAATAGCCAAACATATGAACACATGTTCATGATCACAATTCGTTCGTGAACAAGAAATAATATATGTTCACGAAAAATAACCAAACAAGTAACACAACTACAAAGAGAATACAGACAAATATTAAACGGATACAAACGAGCTTGTTCGCGAACATTGTTAAACGAGCACAAACGAACTTATTCACGATCTCTTAGCAAACGAGCTTACAACTGTTTAGACTCTATTCATTTATAAACCGAGCTCTAAATTTTGTTTGTTAATGTTCGTTTACCTTAATAAACGAACATAAATGAACGCTTACTGAACACGAGTAGTTTACCGAAAGCTCTATGCGCTAACACCAATGTTGCAAAACACGCTAGGCGCCCCCTAGGCGCCGATTTTTTTTAATTTTTTTTAATTTTTTTTAATTAAAAATAAAATTAAAAATTAAATTTTTTTAAAATACATAAGGTTTCCATAGTTATTTCTTAGAAACTATTTACGAAAGTGGTTGTAAAAGTGTTCAAAAGATTGTTTAAACCATCTAAATACATAAAAAACTAAAATTAAGAGCTAAAGAAGCATTTTTTTGAAAAATTAGTGGACCAAACCGCCTTCGGACAACTGAGTCAAAAGTTATGCCTTCCGAAAGTTTTCCAACATTTTCAAAAAAAAAAAAAAAAAAAAAAAAAAATTAAAAGTGCCGGTTCAGCCGGCTAGGCGGTCTAGGCGGCCAGACCGCCTAGCCGGCCGGCCGCGGAGATGGCCGATTTCGGCCTTCTTCGCGGCGGCGCAATGGCGCCTAGCGCCTAGGCGCCGATTAATCCGCGCCTAGGCGCGATTTTTGCAACATTGGCTAACACCCCTACTTATATGTTTGTTATGTGTTGATGTTGGTATCTTGATGTTATATGATGTTTTTGTGAAGTTTTGGAGGTGTGTTTTGATCTAGAAGTGGAGTTTTCGTCATGAAAATGGCGTGTATAGAGCTCGGAGGACATTGCCTCGAAGAGAGCTTGGCCTGGTGGAGCCAACCAACGGATTCGTTGGCAAGCCCCGCCATAGGGCGGAACTGAGTGGCAGACCCTCTCGAGTTCCGCCACTCAGCGCCGGGGCCAGGCGGAGCTTCGTGACGGAGCTCCCCAAGCTCCGTCACCGAGCCCCACCTAGCCACTGTGTGGGCAAGGCCCTTTGAGGCTCAGCCTAGTGTTGGTTGTCCCGGTCCGTGACTCGTGGGTCCGTGAGGCTCGTGAGACTCGGGATCATGACGACATGCTTGCATGAAATGTGCCTATTTTACTAAGTTTTACTTGAGTACTTCTGATTATGAAGGTTGAGTAAATGTTGGTTTGGCATTAAATCATGAAATGATGAAGGATTTGTTTAAATGCTCAATTTGCA